GATCGAGTCCCACATCAGGCTCCCTGCTCAGCAGGGAGTCTGCTTCTCCCTCTGACCCTCTTCCCTCTCGTGCTCTCTGTCTCTCATTCTCTCTTTCTCAAATAAATAAAAATAAAATCTTAAAAAAAAAAAGATGACCCAAGCTGTAGCAAGAAGGAGAACAGAATCCAAAAGCCCCCAAGCCAAGCACCACCTCAAGTCCATTGTGAGAATTAGAGATGACCTCAGACCCAAAGGGACCCACCCAGAGACAACAATCCACGCCCCCATTTTCCTGTGTATACAAACTGGGCATTCTATGTAATTTCTACAAGTTGAGTGAGTCCTCACCTCACATTTTTTATTGGTACATCACTTACCTCTCCACAGACCCCACTCCAACCCCAAAAGCAAAGCATAAGGAGGGAGGTGAAGCAGGTTGGTGGTTGTTCCTTTCACCTCACTCATGTCAAACTCCTGTAACACAATAAACCCACTCTCTGACATCCTGTTTCTCACACTTAAATAGGTGTAGGTAAAGGGGATGTGCTATAGATGTCACTGAAACCAAAATAAAAAGAACACGGATAATAATAGACGGGAATTTTAATTTTTATTGATAAACCAAGATTTCCTACTGAATATATAATACAATACAATTAACAATAACATAACATTCTAACATTTAAAATTTAAACTTTCAGAATCACTTTGATCAACATATAATGCTTTAATTTTGGGGAAATAATACTTTATTTCAACAGTATTCTTCTCATATGCAGAAGAGATTCTTAAAATAGGGGATTCATGAATAAAATTTTATAAAGCTTCCTGTGTAGAAAATAAATGGACTCTACCAAATCAGCTGTACCCTACTAAAAATCCAAAACGGAAAGCCAGGAAGGACCAAAATAGAGCCATATTCTACTGAAGCTATCAAAGATAAATCATAAAGATCTACAAATGGAACATGGCACTACCCTCTACCACAAATTCAATGCACTGGGCAGAAGAGTGGTAAATCGTAGCCTCATGACAACATGAGATAAAATTATTCTTAAATATGAAGCCACATGTCTATCAATCTCATTCATCCCTATTACAGAGATATGCACATACCAATGTGTGTCCTTTGAAGTGAAAAGCTCAGAAATCATCTACAAAATATCTATTTTCCTGTGTGACAATAACTGAAATGAAAATGACATTTTATAGAATGATACAATGTGGCACTGTGTTTTGATGAGGCAGACGAAAATATACTGGCTAGAAATAGTTTCGAGACAAGCCTACTCTCACTAATGCATACTTCATTAAAAATGTATATTTACTGCTTAGTTTCTGGAAGAAAGTAGGGTAACAGTCCTCTATACAAAGTAGTGATAAAAATAATTGCACCTCAGATTACTCCCAGTGTAACTTAAGGTATTTCCTATTAACATAAATATCATTTGATAGATATGAAATTTTTAAGTTCTTAAAAGTGCTATGCTTTATTGGAGTCTGAAAACAAAGGAAAATGAGGAATATACTCTTCTGTCTAACAGAAGCCTCTACCGAGAGTAGAATAGATTCTGAAGTTAACCCAAGAGCAAGTTCACTTACTAAAGTCTCAGACTTCTACTGTGCAAGAAAATGATGCCCCCAAGAATCTATAATGGCATCTGGACCCATGGTTTGCCACTCGGCAAACTCAAATAGGTACTGTCTTCACCTTAAGAAACCTTGTCAAGTAGGTATGTACAACGTATTTCTACAGAAATCAGTACTAAACTTCAAAAGAGCAAATGAGCCAAGAGTAAGGCTGTTCCAAAAAACTCCAGATGATAGGCCAGCAGGTTAATAAACTACCTTGTTCTAAAAATGACAAAGAAAAATGATAGCTCCAATTTTCTTTAAATGTCATCGGGCAGCCAGAAATGTTGAATTAAATAATTGAATTATATCAAAGATAATTGGTATTATATTGCCAGACTATTTTACATAAAGAGAAATTAGGGCTAAATAATAAGTTTTTAAAAAATAACTATACCCAGGCTCAAAAGGATGGGAGCAGGGAGAACTATGCTATGTACAATTCTGAAAATCCCCATGTGTAGAATATGATATTGCATATTTAAAGTAACAAGTTGTTAAGTAATAGATGTATATCTGGATTTCATATTAGCACAACACTCCTCAGATTATACTATACCCAAAATACTAAACCAAAGATACTATTGTTACAGTGTTTTGAAAAACATAAAGTACAATAGAGTAATACAATTAAAAAAAAAAACATTTTCGTTAACCGGGCATGTTTTTTTCTGAACTCATAGATACAGCAAACAAATCGTTAGTTGCCTTCATATCTTTTTTAGAATTCTAACTGAATGTAGTAGGCTGGGGAAACCAAATATGAAAGTGTTGTTCTGTCTTTGAATTGTTTGGCTACTAGTGATCCAGTCTCTGGAACCACTGGCCAGTCAAAACTGCAAGTGGTAGACGCTGGTATCTTAATGAGGTTCCCACTCGGTGAAAGAGAAGGGGAGATTTCAAATTTGTTCATCTCAGGAAATGAAATGGATGGCATTCTAAATGGAAGAATCTCAGCATAAGCAAACTTAAAGGTAAAATGAGGTTTTTTAATACTATTAGTCATAGCATATGCAGAAAAGAAAATAGTCTATACTATTATTACTACTACATGTCTTCCTTTTCCCTTCTGCCTGTGGCTTTTTAATCACCTTTAATGCAAACCCACTGCTCGTAACAAAGCCAGTTCTTCAAGAAAGATATGAGGCTATGAAGGAGGACGAAGACAAGGCGTCTCCACAGCCCGAGCACCGTGAAGCAGAGCCGACTGACTTTCTCCTCCTCCTCCACTTTTAAGAAGTTTATAAAAAGAGATGCATTACAAGAAGAGTTACAAGATGACTTGTTAATCTGAAAACCTAAAGTACTTCACAAAAAAGTATTAGAGTTCTAGTTTTTTAAATGAGGAAATACGGCCTAAAAAAGATACAAGCTATCTTCCACTGGCCTTTCCATTCTAGTGTTTCCCAATATACTCCACTAGCAGTTCAGTATAAATTATTTACTGAAGAATATAAGGTACCAGTGGTCCGTGTAAGGTTCCCTGGGCGAGGCGGGCGAGGAGGACACCCTTTGCCAACACCCTCCCCCAACTTCATCAGAAAATATTTTCCTAGCAAGAAGTCCTAGGATATAAAGGCTGAAAATACCATCCCTGAAGGCCCAAACTAACAAATGCTATTTTTCGATCAGACTGTTTCAAAGGTGTAACAGAACTACAAACTTATACCCGCTTAAAAGTAAATACAAGAAGATTATTTATTTGATATTTAACTTCTCCCTCTCCATACCACTCTCTGAGGATCTATTTTCTACATCTAGGTTTCAAGCTTTAGAACACTGAATGTTGGTAACTCCTCCCTTGGTATCCAAAATATCCAAAAGCAATATATGAACATCCACTGCACTATAATTTCTTAAAACGCACTAAGATAAGAAAAAGTTTTAAAATTTAACTTTAAAAGATATTATTTGCATCCCTTATTTTTGATGGATTTATTTTTTTAAACAGTTTAAATACTATAATGCAAACTTTTTGGAGCTCATGGTAATTATTTTTTCCATGTTCACTCGAGAGAAGTGCAATGGAATTAAGGAGCAAAATTAAACCATTTCTAGATTTAGTAAGAGATCTTTAGTTTATTTTTGATATATCTAAAATATTTCAATGTATTTAGAAGGAAAAGAAGAAAGGAAGAAGGAAGGAAAGTAAGAAAGAAAGAAGAAAGGAGGAAAAAGAGGGAGGTGGAAGAAAAGGAATTTTTCTTTAAAATTTTCTTAAAACTTTCACCCAGATAAATGAATTATTACCCTTCAGAATACAGGGTAACCATTTACCCAGGTGCTCAAAGTTCAGATATCTTAAAGATTCACACAAGCATTAGATGTCACCAGACAGCTGGCTCTCTGCGCTCAGACATCTGAGTCTAGGAAAGCTTCTACAGGACCCAGGGCAACCCCCTACCATACTTGAGGTCAGCAGTCATGTTTACCTCTCTCGGTCCCTGTCAAGCCCCAGCTTCTTTCCCAGATGACAGGGAGGTCAGCCTGCCGCGTCTTCAACAGGATCTTTTTGTTGTGCCCTAGTTAATCGTCCCCCATTACCAACAAAGCTGCAACTTCTGGCCTAGGATCTTCTAGTCTAAATCACCCGGGGCACATACTGCCATGCCCTCTGACTCGCATCCCTGAACCAGAGCCAATGTGTGGGGCTGAGGAAGTGAGAGGGAGAGCAGTGCACCCAGGACTCCTCCTTAGGGCAGTTTTCTGTACACTCCTCAAGCTCTGAATCACACATTCCCTCTCTCCTTCTCTCCAGAAGAAAAACAGGAAGGGTAAAGGTTGGGGGATGAGATTATAATTGGAGTGAAAAAAAAACACTTCACTTTAAAAAAAAAAAAAAATTCACCCCCTACTAAAAAGGAAGAAGTGCTATCCAATTAAGAAGGATATACTGAGACCACTGGGGGTGAGGCGGGGCAGAGGGCAGGCGTGGGTGGATGGGGGAAGGGAACAGAGCAAGCTTCTCCTTCTGGTTGCTTTCTCCCAGTTCCCAAACATCTGTCTTTAATGCTAAAGCCAACACTGGTGTATAGTAATGCTTAAGAACCTAGGTTCATTTCTATTAGGAAAAAAAAAGAATAATCTAAAATAACACATTTATTCCGGGGAAAACAACACCTTCATGAAACATTCCTGAAAGATTTTTAAGAGGGGGGAAATAAAGACGCACGACTGCAAAAGTCTGATTTTCTGTTCTACACAGAAGTCAGGTGAAGACATCTAGGCACCTGTACATCCTAGGACCTGTTTGTGCACCATCCCCCACAACCCCATAAAAAGAAAAAAAAAATCGTTTTTCAAAAATAGAGGTGATACTTGATCATGAAAACAAGACGTGTGACTTCTGGAAATGTCGATGTTACATGGAGTCCCGAAAAAAGGAATCACAGCCAACCCTGCAAAGGGAACAGCAGCATGACACCGAGCCCCACAGTGACTGGAGCGGGGTAAAGGGAAGCTGTAGCTCCTCTCTCGCAAGGCCCACATCCGCGGACGTCCCCACAGAGGTCGCAAGAGGACAGCTTCACTTCCGAGTTGTAACTCCTCACCGCTTGTCTCCCTGTGCAGAGGCAGACATCAGTTTACACGGATCCCTTGTGGAGAAACATTTACTCCGCCAAACCTTAAGACCGCTTCAGTACATGTCTCACAGTTTTCCATTCTTCACATAGTTTTTTTTTCTTTACAAGAAACAACTGAAATGCTCAGGAGGGGCCCACGCGGCTAACCAAATCCACCGGAAGAACAATGCCTTCCCCGCACTGTGCCCCCCCTCCCCCCGCCCCGCCTGCAGCCCCCACCCGCAGTTGGCCAGCGCTGCAACCCCAAGGAGGGGGGAGCGGGGAGCGGGGAGCGGGGAGCGGGGAGCGGGGAGCGGGGAGCGGGGAGCCGACCACAGCTGCACACTGCAACCCCAAGCACACTCGGCTCTCTTCCTGGAACAGGAAAGACTTGAAATTGAGGCTTGTTTAAGCTCCTTGACAGTTTATTTTCGAGTATCATTTTCTATGCATTCAAGCAAAGCTCATTAGAACTCCTGAAAAGAGACTTACTGTGGGCTTGATTAAAAACTACAAAAACACAAAGAGAAGCTTGCCTTTGTAATGTGTCTCAATGTTTTAAAATGTTGAGCATATAGCATCTAATTTTACTGTATAAGCTAATATTTTGGGGTAAATTTTATAGCATAAGCTAGTATTTTTTAAAAACTATATAAAGTACCTACAGCACTATTGTAAACCTACTATACAACATAAAAGATTTTTATTTTTACAATTTTTAAAAACACGTTCTATTTTCAAATTTCTTCATGATTTTTTAACTTCATTTTATTTTTAAATATTGTTTATTATTATATATTCTTTAATCTTAGGATCTTCAAAACCGGGTTGGTAAGGTTTTTATTATTTCTGACCTTTCCTGTATTTTCATTTGAAAATGTCCCCCTCCTAAATAAGTTGCTTGCCACAAAAAAATGTACATAGACTGAATCTTTGTTTCTTGAATGTTTAAAATATTCTCCATTTGCTGAAAAAACATCAACTGGAGAATTTCGCAACTAGTTTCAATTCCAAAGTTGGATAACTGGGCGCTATCATTGAGTCTCCACCATGTATCCCGTCCTTCCACAGAAAAGAAGGGCCACCCTCAGTGTTTCCCCCAAACCTCCCACAAGAACCTCGGCAAATGCTCTTCCCCAATTCCACCAGGAGGCAGATGAGAGGAACTGGCTTGTTGACTCAGAAGGAGAAAGAACTGGTGTTCTCAACCTTCATCTTCAATGATACTCTATTGAACGCTACTGACAACATGAACAAGTTCATTTTACTTTAAAGTGTAATTATCTCCAACTCCCGAACACATCAAAACGTTAATGATTCTCATGCATTCTTATGATTCTGAGCCACCAGGAGTATGCATTCAGAATAAGACTTACTACAATTATGGAGATCATACACTCACAGAACCTCGCTCTGTGACTGAGTGTAGAGTAGTCCTAACTAACTTAGGTGATCTACAAACCAGATCTCTGCTTTCACATCCTAAATTTTTAATATTTTATAAAGTCAGAAGTGACCAGTAAAATCAAAGAAGCTCAAGTTATTTTCCAAACGGACTATATTTTTCTTGATCTGCTAAAGAAAAAAACTGCTATAATGTATAAATTTTAGCAAGACAACAGACTCCGCTAAACCCATCCCAGTCTTTCACACTGCAAATGAGGCTCATGTTCTCTCCTGAAGAAATCCCATTTTAAAACAAAACAGATGGAAGGGATGGTTGGAACAGAGGCAAAACCTTGGATGCTACACATAACTAAACTCACAGTTATGTCAGTTTTTCTTGGTAAATTTTGTAATTGTGAATTAAAAACCTAAAACATGAGGAAAAACCTAAAATTATTAGGAAAAATATCACTTTTTTGTATTCATCTGCTCAATGCTATCACGTGACTTTTTAAAATTATTGTCTTCATTTAAGTGGAAAGCTCACCTCCTATACCCCACCTCCTACACTCTCCCCAACAACCCTCCCCACACACAAGATAGGTGGCCACTGCAAATAAGTGAATGAATGAATAAAATGAATGAAGGCCTGGCTTAACTTCTAAAGTGTTAGAAACTCTAGAACACACTTACTTGGTTCATAGTAATCCATGATGGACACCAAAGCATCTTGTGTATTGGAAACTTTAAAGTTTCTCACAGCAGGAATATCCACACAAATCTGGGTTTCATTTACCTTGAAAAATACAAAAAACTCCTAAGGGGGTGACAGACAATGTGTTCACAATAAAGCAAAAGACATTTCTTTTTCTTATCATTTTAGAAAACAGATAGAAACTAACATTTAGGGAGGATTTCTACATGCCCTGTGTTATGGTAAGCACTTTATATAAATTATCTCATTTAACAGGTAAAACAATTCTTACAAGAAAGGTATTGTTCTCACTTCCATTTTACCAAAAGCAATACTGAGAATCAGAGGGGTTAAGTAAGCAGCAAGTCCAAGGATGCATGCTCCTGAGCCCTGGTGCTTCACTCAGTCCCCATCTCACGCAAGGTGCCCACCTCAGTTGCTGCTGATAGCTCACGACAGCCCCTTCTCTGAAGGACTGCCCTCAGCTCACGGGAGCAACCTCACCTGGTAAGTGAGGTAACCCCAGGTGGGCGTTGCACCCCCAACCAAAAACTGATTTGGGGTACAAAAGGCCAGCTCCTTGCCTCCAGGAAGGGCCAATGTGGCAACCAATATTGTTAAAGGAATCTGAAATTGATAAATTCCTTCAAATATTCCATTACTTGCCAATAGCAGTAAATGAAAAGTCAAATTAATCAGTCAGAACATACTGAACACTCGAATTTAGAAAACCATTAACAAGTACATCGCGGGCGCCTGGGTGGCTCAGTTGGTTAAGCGACTGCCTTTGGCTCAGGTCATGATCCTGGAGTCCCGGGATCGAGTCCCACATCGGGCTCCCTGCTCAGCGGGGAGTCTGCTTCTCCCTCTGACCCTCTTCCCTCTCATGCTATCTCTCATTCTCTCTCTCTCAAATAAATAAATAAAATCTTAAAAAAACAAAAAAAACAAGTACATCGCATAAATAAATAAATAAATAAATGTACATCATAGATACAGGACAAACTCCAAAAACCAATTGCATTATTAAATAAAAACCTTAAACTTGTTTTTCATGTTCCAAATCAAGCCCATGGTATTCAAGCGGTATGTCATATATGAAAACTGAACAGAAAAAGAAGCTAAAGACTTTGGATGAGTTTTAACAGAGTTTTGGCCAGAGTGGTCTTTAAAGTCCTAAAACAAATGAGGAACTAGTTTTCTTAAAGTATATATATATATTGCTAAGGCAATATATTTCTGATTCATACTTGGCAAAACTAGAATAAGAAACATAGGGAATTCCCCAACATAACATGAAATCCTAAGAACACTTAAAACTCAATTCGATTCAATCTAAGAGTTTCATATAGATGTTAGAAAAAAAGAATAAATTATATGCCGGCAGTTTTGGGACATAACAAGTACAGTCGAATTCTTCACTTACGTTTCTCTCACATATTTTATGCACCTTATTCTTGGATCAGTAATTTTCATAGAACAATGAGAAGAGTATATGAAAATTATATAATAATTTGTATAAAGACCAAACCTCTGAGAATATCCATGATTTAAGCACCTAATATATTCATTGGAGAAATATTAACCCCTTTGGGATTTATTAAAAACTCCATGAAAGCATTTTAAAACTTGTAATTAAAGCTTTCATCATCAGCATTTAAAGAGATAATTTTAGGGATGCCTGGGTGGCTCAGTCGGTTAAGCATCTGCCTTCGGCTCAGGTCATGATCTCAGGGTCCTGGGATTGAGCCCCGCGTCAGGCTCCCTGCTCAGCGGGGAGCCTGCTTCTCCCTCTGCCTGCAGCTCCCACCTGTGCTCTCTCTCTCTCTCTCTCAAATAAGTAAATTAAGTTAAAAAAAAAAAAAAGATAATTTTAGCAATTCCCTGAGGCAGAGCGGTTCTCAAACTGAGATCTGGACCAAATTTCTGAAATTACAATGTCACGGTTTCTACATAGTTTATACATCTGGCATGAAATACTGATTTAGTTATCAAGACTTTCATCAGGCTCATCATTAACAGTATTCTCTTTAAGTTGATTTTACAGTGATGTCTTTTTAGTGGGGACAAACATAAGGTTGCCCTGTTAGGGTCATTCGGGGACACAAAAAGCTGAAATAAAGACAAAGTAAATAGGCCCAGAGTAAGGCAGACTTTCCAAGACAATAAATGGCATTTTGTCACCAGTCACCTATGTGAAACTTACGTCTTACAACTTACAGAATCTAAATATAAGTTGACTTTTCCCTGATCATGTTCTACTTTCCTCACAGTCTGGCTCAGAGGAATTGCATCGGAAGGCACAGTGAAACCACTGAGGAGGTTCACTTCCATAAGGGCCATGCCGCTTCTAGCCGGGCCCAAAAACCTAGGGCAAAGAGGAGAGGATGGAAGGAAGAACACCCTTTAGGAAAAACCTTAAGCTGCTGTCAAACTCTCTTCACATGAAAATTAAAACTGCCAAGTGTTATTCCAAATACTTACCGCTTAGTCGAAGTAAACAATCTCATAGAAAATTATTATAAAACCGGTAATCCTTTCCTTACAGGGATGAAATTCTTATAATTTTCAACCATATGAGGAATAATGATTTAACAATGCATTCACTTGACATGAAATGCCTGCAATGTGTCAGCCTTGTGCCCACAGATTTGTAACAAGTACAACCTGGACGCCCTTTCAGTGGGCAACGCTGTGTACTAGGGGTGATTCCAAACTGAATCGCATTTTTCATTTCCTCAGAAGTTGACAGCCCTGAGCTTTCCAGCTGAAAGCCAGGAACTGAAAAAGAAACTGAAAACTTGACCACTTAAGGAGGAGACCACCGCCAAGTCTTTAGCAATCTTCTCTTCATCCGGTTTTAAGAAAAAGAAGACCAGTAGGGAGGAGTCCTTCCCTTTGTTCTCCAAAATGTACTTGGAGCACATTTTGTGTTTTCTTTGGCCACCTGGCAAGAATCCCAAGCCTTGGAAAATTCTGTGACACTACCTTGTTCGCTCACCCTGTTGTGCACAACCTGAGCATCAAAGGATCTGGGCATCAAGGGCGTTTCGTCTCCTTTAAAATAAACAGTTTTCTACAATGAATAGGTGGCAAGAGCTTTTTGTTTGGAGCAGAAAGAGCCCAGTGTGGTCATGGAAAGAAGTCTGCCTACAACGTGAAAGGATCGGAGCACTGTTACATGAGTTCCTATTGTCCTTTCAGACGGCAAAAGCAAGAAGGGCTGGTAGAAAATCTTGCTTTTGAGAGCGGCAAACCGACGGCTGCCAAACACAACTGATTGACGAGCCACACAGTCCAACTGCCGACGACATCTGGCTCAGCGATCGCAAACAAGTGAAACCATCTGCAGAGTGATACACTCGGCCAAGAGAGATGCTGTTGAAAACTAATAAGTGCATTGCAGCTCGAGGTGTTTGTGTCAGAGCAAACATTAAAGAGAAGAACAGCCAATCTGCTTCAATACGATGACTTTTGGGACACCATCCAAAGTGCCTTGGTTGACCTGGTCTTTCTACCAGCCCAGGGCAGAATTTGTTAAATGCCCACGCCACACACAGAAAACCTCATCTGAGGTGACCCTACGGATGGGACTAAAGCGCCTAAAATATCAGTTTTTTCTTTTTATTAAGTGCCACTGAAAATGTTACTTGTATTCATATCAGATTTTTCTCAGAAGACTAGTAGCAGCATCCAAGTCCTTTTTACCAACCACTACTCTCACATGAAAACACTTCCCTTCTCTAGTTTCTCCCCAAAGAAGGGAAAAAAGATATATATATCCTCTATCTATCAAAGTCTATCACCCATCTGATTCCTGAAACAGGTTAAGATTTGGAATCCCGCATCCTTTCATGAGCCCTTGTAAGTAATAAGGCCCCATCCTGATCTGAATCCTGGTTTCACCTAATTTTCTTCATCTGTTTCTTCAATTGACCTCCCTAAGAGGTAAAATCCCTCTCATAGCTCCAAAGACTTTTCTTCTTTGCCGATTTCAAAACCAGAATTTTAGACTTATTTAGAAGACTTATTTTTATTAATTTCTCTCTGTCTCCCCTCCAAACAGTAAGTTCCATGAAGACAGGGCCTGTGTCTTTTTTAGATCACCGTTAATTCCAACATCTGACACTGTGGCTTGGCACATAATGGAGACTCAACTGATATTTACTGAATGAATGAATGAGAGAATGACAAAAGCAGGGATAACAATACCACCTACTTTACAGAGTTATTGTAATGATTAAATGAGATGCATGTGAAAGTGCCCGGCATATAAGTTTGTGATAAACGTAGCTTATTATTACTTGCAATAATAATAACTTGATCCTGCTATTTTAGAAAAGAACCCAATTATAAGCTTCATAAAGAAGAGTGGGAGTCCTACTTTCTTCTCAGCTAAAAAGGAAGCCACTGAAGGAATCCTGCTATCCCCCTGCTGTGGGTCCAAAATGCCCAGGAAGGGAACAAATGGGACAAACACAAGTGACATTTTATACCAAAATCATGAACATGAAGGCCCAAAGATAGTACAGATGGTAGCAGTAATGGAGGAGATTGGATTCAAGCGATGGCTAAAAAGGTTGGCCACCTGGAGAAACACCCAGCGATGACCCTGAGGAGCATCTGGCAGCTCAGGACCATGTCAGTGACTTCCAGCCCAACAACAAGCCCAGTTCAACCAGAACACCAGGGGGTATTTAAAAAGAACTGACAGCAGCTCCTCAGTCTCTTCACAGTAACTCCCAACTTCACAGCAAATCATGCAGAGGTAAGAGGATAGACTGACAAGGAAGAAACTGTAAAGTCTCCTGGTTCAAGAACCTTCTAAAGGATTTGCTCTCAAACCTGTGTGTGCATTAGAAAACCAAGAAAGCTGAAGAGGGCAGCTTCACAGACTCTGAATCTGTTAAGTCAGCAGGTGTGAGTTGGAACCCCTTTTCCTTTTGACTTAACAAGATCCTCAGATGCTTTGGATACAGACTGAATTTAAGAATCACCTTATTAAGTATTCCCAGAAGCTAAAAGTGCCTATCTATCCAAGGTGAAGCCCTTCTACACTGGAATATTTTCACTGTGTCTAAAAAGACTATTCTCTTCACTAAACTTGCACATTCTTATGAACTTCTTATGAAGTTCTATAAAGTTAAAAGCCTAACACTAAAGGTTAAATATAAGCCTGGAATAATTATTTAACAGAAAATTACTAATCAAGGAATAACGAATTTTAGAGTATTAAACATGACTGGTTAATTTAAAGTTTTCATAAAGACCTACATTGTATTAAATTTTTCTATTCAAAGTTACAATAGATACAAGAAAAACTTGTAAATAATTTTGAACACATTGAGAAATACTTAAACATAATTAAGCAGTATTTCTAGTTTGTAATCTGAAGTGTATTAAATAACAAATCTTTGTTAAATGTAACTCCTTATATATTTTTTTAAAGATTTTATTTATTTATTTGACACAGAGAGAGAGCACAAGTAGGAGAAGCAGCAGGGGCAGAGGGAGAGGGAGAAGCAGGCTCCCCACTGAGCAAGGAGCCCGATGCGGGGCTCAGGACTCTGGGATCATGACCTGAGCCAAAGGCAGATGCTTAACCAACTGAGCCACCCAGGGACCCCTGTAACTCCTTTTATATTGATATAGTTAGATAACTACATATATATAAATTTCTAAATCTGGGGCACCTGGGTGGCTCAGTCAGTTAAGTGTCTGACTCTTGATTTCTGCTCAGGTCATGATCTCGGGGTCATGAGATCAAGCCCCGCCTCAGGCTCCAATTTGGGCATGGAGCTTGCTTAGGGTTCTCTCTCTCCATCTCCCACTGCCCCTCCCCCCATCACATGTGCTCTCTCTCTCTCCCCCTACCCCGCTCATAAATAAATAAATAAATAGATAGATAAATCTATCTTCAAATCTATTTTAAAAAGAGAGAAAGGACTTAAAGCAATACCAACCTTGTGCACACATTCAAATTCAAGTGATTGGTATCATCTTTATTGTCTTTTACAGCAACGTCTAAATCAAAAGCTTCTTGGTCTTGAATAGATCTTCGTCTTCTTGGGGAACCCGAATCTTTCACATTATAAATCACATTAAACTGCAACAAATAATAAATTAGCATAAATAATAAGCTAGTCATCAATTATTAGCAATAAATTGCCATCATTACATATTCTAAATATTAGGTAATGATTATCTTTGGGATAAATGCAACTAGATTTGTAATCTTCGGCCAAAAGAAAAAAAACTAGTTTTACTAGCTAACAAAGTATCATTATTTAAAATATTATAAAAGTTTATAAGCAATGATTTTTAAAATTGAGAAAACTGTTAGGTAATACTCCAGAACAGGTATAGACCTTCATGATATTCATAGGTATTTTTTTTTTCTCCAAAGAATGTAAAACATTCCCTTTAGGGAAAAAGTGAAACTACTGCCTATTTCTTTCTTGAGACCATCCACTAATTTCTAAGCTCTGCTGCCCAACTGGTGTCATTTTTCACAAAATGGAACCTTAGAAACTCAGTTAGCTAAATCAAAACTAAAACATTTAAGAGCCCTCGTTGAACAGAAACCTGTTTAATTGCTCAGCATTCTTTTTGGCTGTACAATACTTTCAAAAGATGATAAAATAAATGACAAATTTCAAGACGACTGGGCCTTTTTCAGCAAATACTCTGTGCCTACCACCAGTGAAAGGTGCTGTGGGGACACTGGGCAAAGTGTGAGGATAAGTTGTTTTTTTTCCCAAAGCGTTCCTAAGATCGGAAGCTTGGGAATATACTCAAAATTTTGTACACCTGCCTCATGCCAAGTTGAATTGGAATCTACTTCTTCCACCTTTTTTGATACCAAGGTTCGTAAGCTTTACCGTTGCTATGTAATGTTGTATTTTCTTATATTTAAATCACACACACACACACACACACACACCTCAGAACTAAACATCTAGTACCCTTTGTAGATTTTCACAATTTAAAACAAATCTTCTTTCTGGGGCGCTTGTGTGGCTCAGTCAGTTCAGGGTCCGACTCTTGATTTTGGCTCAGGTCATGATCTCGGGGATGGGGGCTCAAGCCCCAATTCGGGCTCTGCGCTCAGAGTGGAGTCTGCTTGTCCCTCTCCCTCTACCTGCTGCTCCCCCACATACACACACTCTATCTCTAAAATGAATAAATAAAATATTTTTTAAAAATAAATAAATAATAAATAATCCAACTTTTTATTCTGCTATACCTAGCTCATATAATCCCTACGTCCCCTTGATCATTCTGGTTATCTCACTCTGGATATTCTCCAACTCTTTCTTCAATGACAATTAAAATTTTAGAATATTCTTGGAGGAGGTGAAGAACAGTTTCATATAACTGGAGAGATGGTCTCTTATTTCCATCATCCCCTTTCCAGTGGCATGCAATTGTCCTTTAGAGACCAACATCATCAGGAAACAAACAAGAACTATTAGATTTGTCCTCTGGGTCATAATTAATACTCATCTATAACTTAGTATTGGGGTTAATGTTTGACCCACGAAAAGCTCAACTGCTCATTGAGCGAATTTTGAGACATCTTGCAATTTATGTCCAAGAGCTTAGCATTTCAGTACTTAAAATGGGGCTAGCATTTACTGCAAACCTGAGAGGTTTCTTTCCTTTCTTTATCTAGAGGACTTACAAAAATATCAACTAAAAGAATCGCAATACATATTCCCAGGTGTCCAACTTGTTAGCAATTTGTTTCTTCATCCTAAGAAGTGCCTATCGGTCCGTCCCTTTTGTTTTCTGCATGTTGATAGAGGTTTGGAGTAGTGAGCATTCTGACCAGTACATACCACATTCACTGCTGTGCCCTTCAAAGTTCAAGTAAAACTCATTTGGCTTCAGTAATTTATCTCCATTGGGTTTAATCAAGAATGAATTCCAACCAATTTGGTGATTTAAGTACATATAATTTTTCAATTGTATTTAAAATATCCTGTGTATTTACTTTTGGATTTGCTGTTTGCTTTGAAAGACAGCTTGAGAATGAGAATTTTCACATGGCCTTTGTTAGTAAAGACAAATATAAATTATTCACTCTTTTCTCTTTCTATCCTTTTTGTTGAATACTGTTCCTTTTAACTGTGATCATTTTTCCTTGATTTTCTACCGTGTTTTGACTATTATACAAAATAATCTCAGAATTCTTGGAAGTTTTGAAATTATACCTGACCATCTATCTATCTGCCCTACTTAGCAAGTATACCCGTTCTTCCAACTAGTACTGGTTTGTACTTGTTTTTTGGAAAGTTCCTTTTTTTTTTTATTGGCTTTTTTTTTTTAACTTTCTTGGTAAATCTTTCAGGGTTTGTTTGGTTTGTATATTCTAACCAAGCACATAACAATTTTTGGTCCTATAACATATTATTTTTGGTTTCCAATAAGATTATGTCAAGTACCTATAATTTTCAATGTATTAAGTATAATAACTGTTCCATTCAGGATTTTACATACTACTTCCATTTTATTCTAACACTATTGCACCATTAAAGGTAAGTTTCTTTGGATTTTATTCTTATAGCAAAGCATTGACTGTATCTTTCTCTAATTGTTTTATTTACTATTATATAAGATTTTATATTTTTATTTAAATTCGATTAGCTAACAATTATATAAGATTTTATATTAAAGGGACACATTTCCTATCTTCAAGTCAATTCCTTGTAATACCATGTTGACCTTTATATTGCTAGATGAATATTAAGAAGTTATAGGCAGGGGCGCCCGAGTGGCTCAGTTGGTTAAGCGGCTGCCTTTGGCTCGGGTCATGATCCTGGAGTCCTGGGATAGAGCCCCGCATCAGGCTCCTTGCTCAGCAGGGAGCCTGCTTCTCCCTCTGCCCCTCCCCCTGTTCATGTGCTCTCTCTCATGCTCTCTCTCTTAAATAAATAAAATCTTTAAAAAAAAGTTATAGGCAAAATTTATTGTATTTATTATCAAGTCATAGTAGAAACTCTACCAGCATTACAATTTCTGAGCTGTATTTTTGCAAAAAAGATGGGCGTTCCCAACAACTCACATGAATCATATCAAAAGAATTAATCCTAACTTCAAAAAGCATATAATACTCAAGAAATCTTTTTCCAAGATTATCAATCCATTTGGTTGCTGTCTACTGACTAATAGTAACATCTCTAATACTTTTTATTTATTTTTTTAAAGATTGTTTTTTTTTATTTGACAGAGAGAGACACAGCGAGAGAGGGAACACAAGCAGCGGGAGTGGGAGAGGGAGAAGCAGGCTTCCCCGTGGAGCAGGGAGCCCGATGCGGGGCTCGATCCCAGGACCCTGGGATCATGACCTGAGCCGAAGGCAGACACCCAACAACTGAGCCACCCAAGCATCCCTCTAATACTTTTTATTAAAGAGAGTGATTTATCTTACCTAAGTCACAGATAGAAATCCTTAAGAATTTTACACATTATCTGTTACAGATTTAGCAGTACCCCAAATGAAAGAATTATTATAACAAGTCATACTGAACTCAACAAAAATGAACATTGTTACATACCTGACAAATAGCAAATCCAAAACCACTTGCGGAAATATTAACTGCAGTTGGCTGTACCACAGCAAGCTGAATAAAGATGGGGAAAAAGTGAATGAGGCTAATCTTCCATATCCAGGTCCTTCTGGCTAGCACAAGAAATCAGTGTTACCCCTCACTAGCAGTGTAAGCCGTCTGGGAAAAGCTCTCAGAATTTCACACAGCCTCACATGTCAAAAGCTATGGGCCAACCAGGTAAAAGAGGTGAAGGCACAGGAAGGGCTCACTCTCCACGCCCTCTCATCTCTACCCTTTGAGAGAGGGGATAGGGCTGCCCTTCTAGAGGTGTGGAAGCAAGAGAGACAAGACACGAAAGTCCTCTCACTCCTCCCATCTCCCTTAGTGCCTAATCTGCTGGCCTTCCTGTGAACACAGTGGCACATGATCACAGACTCTGATTCACATTACTCCTTCCTTTTCTTTTGCCATCACCCCTCTTCCTCAGTTTCCAGCCTTGAAGTTATCACTTTCATCCATCACTCTCAGCTTCCCACAAGGTTATTAACCACAGGAATAAAGTTAGGGTCTACGATAAGCCTTCGTTCTTTTTTAAAGTAAGAATCCTCCCACGGATTCTATCAATTGTCCTAAGAGGACACGTGGTGCAGCTGGAAAGAACATGGTCTGAAACATAGTCCAAATCCTAGCTATGTTACTGTTACTGGCAACATGAGCTTGAGCAAGTTACTTAAGCTCTCCCAGCCTCATTTTATCATGTATGATGGGGATGAAAGTACGTACTTTCTTAGTGTTGGTTTGAGAAGCAAATGCAATAGCACCTGTAAAGAAATCTGGCCACACTGCCTGCAAAGAATAAGAACTCAGCAGGTGTCCATTCCTTTCCCCCTATTTTCTCCTTTTCCAAATCTTTCCAAAGTTCCCATCCCCTCTTCTCTTCTCTCTTCCCCAGCTCAGCAAATTCAACCAAAGGAGGGCATTCCTTCCTCCCAGTCTCTTTAGAGGGCTCTAGGAACAAGTCTTTGTTGAAGTCAATAGAAAGGAAATAAAACAGCATTCCAGCATAAGCGATCACCCACACGTAATTTTAAATAACTACCCCCTTGTCCACACCTCTGCCGTCTGGAGGAGAAAGCGATTCTGTGTGTCAATCCGAAACTTTACAGGACTTGGTGAACTGGGCCCCATCACAGTCACTTGGATGTTTGTCCTGTCTGTGTTCATTAGAGCTGCAAATTCAGATAGGGCCTTCAAGGCTACAATGGTGTCCTGTTGAGGAAAGAAAAACATGTGCGCATGTAAGTATATATCAAGGTCACCAAAGAGTCTTTAAAGTTAGTAATGTTTAGGACACCCACTATGTATTCATCCACCTTCCTTGGGAGTAGAGCTCTCCTTTATCCATTTTTGAATGTCCTTGACCTACAGTAGAGGAGAGGCTTGGAAAGTACCTGCTCACTGAAACTGAGTATCTAACTCTACCATGCATGAAAGATGGCCAATATAGACGGGGAACTAATTTATTCCATATACATATCACATATGATGTTTATATCTGTGATGAGAAAAAGATTAAAATCAGTAACTTGGACCCTTGACCTAAGGGACTGAATTTTTAAATTGCCAATTTTATGAAGTCATGAAAAAAGCAGCCACCTACTTCCTTTAAAAAATTACATATATATTTAAACTATATTTAGTTTAAAAAATGAAAAACTATCATTACTCACCTGGGTAGATGCAAAACCTCCCAAGCTATTTCTTTGCCGGCTCAGCCACCTCATAATCGGGATTCCCTCAGACACCTGATACTGCAAGAAGTGTGAGAGCAGTGCGTAGGCGGCAACTTCAATATCCAGGGAACGTGGTTGCCAGGATTCAGAAAGTTTAGACTCTGATGACACCCAGAACTGCATGCCTCCTGCAAAAGACAAGTAATAATAGTCTGACCAATTGAGCAAAAATTACATTTTACACCATTAAATATTCCTACACTGGTCCGAGTCCTACTTGACTAGCATAAATATATAGAGAGATGTATTTCCAAATATGAATATATTTATGCCATGCAATAATGTGTGTATTCACACAGACATACATGTAAACATGTACTTATAGGTCACTTTCCAGACGACTACAACTTATAAATTTTCATCCTTTTCTTTATATTTGAGGATGTTTTGATGAAAATAATTTCCCAAGGGAAATTCCACATTTGCCTTGAGACTAAACAGCTATAAATAAAAGAAAAACATACTATACTCCAGAAGATAATGTACATAACTTTTCTGACCAGGCCATCCTAAAAATATTTTAGGACACATTAGAAAGAACCCTGTTCTGGGAATCTGCCATTAACCAGCTCTAATGTTCCCAGAAACCTCTCCTTTTTTTCATTATCTGAAATTTGGTGTTATAAGTTCAAAATCCAAGCCCCCAAGGGAAAAAAATGAAGGACCCTGGCCAACTCAACAATCTTCCTAGAGATATTCCTGCTACCCCCAGAGGGACATCTTACTTGGCGCCCCCTCCCACATCTCAAATATTACTCTCTAGATGATGATCGCACTCAGGTGGAATGTGAAATAACTACCACTTAGACAAGCAGAGAAGAAATGTCAAGGCCTGCAGTCTCCATGCAACAATTCAGTCCCCAGCACTGCAATGGGCAGTAAAGATAATAAGAACTTGATCTAAATTACTGCTAATAATGCAATATTTTTTACAGTCTTAGGAATCTCTAAGCACGTTCAACATTTATCCTTTCTTGAATTAACAAGGCTTCGAAATGGCGGACATTAACTAAAATTATTTCTGCCCACTCATCCCATCTCTATGTCTGTCTGTCTGTCTCTCTCTCTCTTTCTCACACACACACACACACACACCTGGATCCCTGCCCATAGAGGCCATTTGGGAAGTAGCAACACTTGTACTTTTTATCCTGTTGTAGCCCATAAAAAAAAAAAGTCCTCCAACTCACTAACAGCATTTTTTGGCATTTGCATTTCCACTAATTAGCATTTTAGTTCAAATTTTGAACATTTGCTAGGTGTTACTCCCATTTTTAGTTAGGAAAACTGAAACTGATAAAAGCAAGTAGCAGCAACAAAACCCAAGTCTCTCCACAACCCCATGTCCTAATGACCACTCAAGGCCACGAAACCAGAAATGGCATCAAAGAACTCAAAAGGTAACTAACACAGGGCAGAACATATGTAAAAGAAGGAAACACCCAAGCCCTGAAATTCTCTAGAAAACTCCGGGAGAGCAGAAACAGCCATGTCAGACTCATCTGATCTCCTCTGCATTTCATTTATCATCCCATTCAGAAGAGGTAAATGTTATCAACTTCGTATCTGGCTTACAAAACTTTCTCACATAATTTGTATATTTCATAATGCATAGCAGTCTAACAATCTCAAATGACCCCATGCATTACCTTCTTGTTCTGCTCTCCAAGTCAGCATATTCAAAGCTTCCTTGGCTTTAGGGCTTCCCACGGATGACAGCGCATAAGTTATAAGAGCTAGAGTATAATTGTCTGAAATTCCTCTATTAAATTCAGACTCCAAAAAGTTGATAGACTCTTGTACATCAATATTAGGCTTGAAAAAAAAAACATATATTTTACTATTCAAAATAACCCATTACCACACATTTAAACAAAAAGTATTTTCAAACATTCGTTCAAAAAATAATTTCAGTGCCTATTTAAGCACCTGACTTTGTCCCAGGCAATGGGAATCAATGATGATCACTGACATTTAAAGATTTGCTATTATCGCTTCTTGGCCTTTTGGCTAAGATCAAGTGTAAAGATTTGCTATTCTGGTGGTTAACATAACAATAAAAAAATTATTAAAAAAAAAAGATTTGCTATTCATTTTCAAAATAATACTGCTTTTGAAAGAAAAATGAAGGAATCATATCTATTTATAATTGCACCAAAAATAAGAAGATACCTAGGAATAAATCTAACCAAAGAGATGAAAGAACCGTACTCTGAAAACTATAAAACACTGATGAAAGAAACTGAAGACAACACAAGAACTTTCCATAAACTGGAAAGACATTCCATGCTCACATGGAGTGGAAGAACAAACATTGTTAAAATGTCTATACTTCAGGGCGCCTGGGTGGCTCAGTTGGTTAAGCAACTGCCTTCGGCTCAGGTCATGATCCTGGAGTCCCGGGACTGAGTCCCACATCAGGCTCCCTGCTCAGCAGGGAGTCTGCTTCTCCCTCTGACCCTCTTCCCTCTCATGCTCTCTCATTCTCTCTCTCTCAAATAAATAAATAAAATCAATAAAATCTTTAAAAAAAAAAATGTCTATACTTCCCAAAGCAAACTACACATTTAGTACAATCCCTATCAAAGTACCAACAGCATTTTTCACAGAGCTAACACAAACAATCATGAGATTTGAATGGAACCACAAAAGACCCTGAATAGTCAAAGCAATCTTGAAAAACAAAAGCAAAGCTGGAGGCATCACAATTCCAGACTTCAAGTTATATTACAAAACTGTAGTAATCAAAACAGTGTGGCACTGGCACAAAAATAGACACACAGATCAACAGAATACAAATCCCAGAAATGAACCAATAACTACATGGTCAATTAATCTTCAACAAAGCAGGAAAGAATATCCAATGGGAAAAAGACAGTCTCTTCAACAAATGCTGTTGGGAAAACTGGACAACAACATGCAAAAGAATGAAACTGGACCACTTTCTTACACCATACACAAAAATAAATTCAAAATGGACTGAAGACCTAAATATGAGGCCTGAAACCATAAAAATCCTATAAGAGAACACAGGCAGTAACCTCTTTGACATCAGCCATAGCAACTTCTTTCTAGATATGTTTCCTTAGGCAAGGGAAACAAAAGCAAAAATAAACTATTGGGACTCCATCAAAATAAAAAGCTTCTGCATGCCAAGGAAACAATCAACAAAACTAAAAGGCAACCTACAGAATGGGAAAAGATATTTGCAAATGACATATCTGATAAAGGACTAGTATCCAAAATATATAAAGAACTGATCCAACTCAACACCCAAAAACCAAATAATCCCATTAAAAATGAGCAGAAGAGGGGCACCTGGCTGGCCTGGTCATGGAATGTGCACTCCTGATCTCAGGGTTGTGAGTTCAAGCCCCACACTGGGTGTAGAGATTACTTAAAAATAAAAAATTTTTAATAAAAAAAAATGGGAGGGGTGCCTGGATGGCTCAGTTGGTTGAGTGTCCAGTTCTTGATTTCAGCCCAGATCATGATCTTGGGGTCCTGGGATTGAGCCCTGTGTAGGGCTCTATGCTCAGCGGGGAGTCTGCTTGAGGATTCTCTCCCTCTCCCTATGTCGCTCCCCCTGCTTGCATGCTCTCTCTCTCTCAAGTAAATAAATAAATCTTAAAAAAAAAAAAAATGGGCAGAAGACATGAATAGACATTGTTCCAAAGAAGACATGCAGATGGCCAACAAACATATGAAAAGATGCTCAACATCGCTGATCATCAAGGAAATACAAATCAAAACTGCAATGAGATATTACCTCACACCTATCAGATGGCTAAAATCAACAACACAAGAAACAACAGGTGTTGGTGAGGATGTGGAGAAAGGGGAACTCTGATACACTGTTGGTGGGAATAGAAACTGATACAACCACTCTGGAAAACAGTATGGAGTTTCCTCAGAATATTAAAAATAGAGCTACCCAATAATCCAGCAATTGCACTAGGAATACAAAAATACTAATTCAAAAGGATACATGTACCCCAGTGTTTATAGCAGCACTGTCTACAGTAGCCAAGACATGGAAGCAGCCCAAGTGTCCATCGACTGATGAATGGGTAAAGAAGATATGTGTGTGTGCGTGTGTGTGTGCACGCGCATGTGTGTATACAATGGAATATTACTCAGCCATAAAATAGAATGGAATCTTGCCATTTACAACAACACGAATGGAGTCAGAAAGTATTATGCTAAGTCAGTCAGTCAGAGAAAGATAAATACCATATGATTTCACTCATATGTGGAATTTAAGAAATAAAACAAATGAATAAAGGAGAAAAAAAGAGAGAGGCAAACCAAGAAACACACTCATAATTACAGAGAACAAACTGATGGTTACCAGAGGGGAGGTGGGCAGGAGGATGGGTGAAGTAGGTGGTGGGGACTAAGGAGGGCACTTGTTGTGATGAGCACCAGGTGTTGTATGGAAGTGTGGAATCACTATGTTGTACACCTGAAACTAATATAACACTGTATGTTAACTACCTGGAATTTAAATAAAAATAAAGATTAAAAAAAAAGAAAAAACCCTGCTTTTCAGTTTTTATAAGTAAATAGGCACCATTCCCCAGAAGGAATAAGAAATAAAAAGCAGAACTTTGCCAGTATTTCTACCATTGAATATCATGAACTCAGATGACAGCACAAAATATAACTTGAGAAAAATATTATTCATATCTAATCTCAGGTGTTGAAGCTCTTAAGTTTAGGGGAAACTTTATCTTCCATGTGCCTAGTACTGGACTAGGGAAATAGTAGGAGCTTACTATCAAGAATGGCTGTTTTCGATCATGTGAAATGCAGTTGCCATTAAAGCAGTAAAGGCATCAATCACTGAGACAGCTCTGGAGCAAAATTAAGTTCATTGGCATAACTTTTCATGCCTCCTCGCTCTCATCCAGACATCCATGCCCATTTAACATGATTTTTACAGTGTGGGTATATTTTGTACTAAATTAGCAGACATTATAATATCTCCATGATAACTTTAGAAATTAAAAAGAAAATCCTTCACAACCTAAATGTGCTAGAATGCATTCCCAAATTCTGAAGACTTTTCTGTCCCCTAATAAATGAACCTTTCCAATGATAAAATACTTATCGATTTATCTTACCAATAGCAAGTACAACATTTATATAAGAAAGCATTCTTAGTTATTCTGAAAGAATGGGTTCATATTTTCATTCTCAGATTTTAGAATATGGCCACAAACGCAAAGCAAAAAGGTACCCAAATTCAGACTTCAAATGTGACGTAAAATTGCAAAACTCTTTTGGTTTCCAGACACATTATTGACTCATCAAGACCTACCTTCCTTGTGATTTCCCACCTATCATTTATTAAATTAAAGATTAAATACCTGATACTTTTTATATCCCAGGAGAGAAGTCACAATATAAGCTGTAAGCATTACTGGACTTTTATTGCCACCTTGAAGCTCACTATGGATCACTCTTCCTGGCTCCCAAAATTCACCATTGGATTTCTGACGTCCTTTGAGCCACGTATATGTTCTGTGTAACACATTCTGATCAATATCTATGTACGGATCAGCTTCAAGGAAACATCTTAGAACAAAAGCTGACAACCTAGGTGAAAAAGGAGAAAAATTACATAAAATACACTTTACAAAGTCTTCTAAATAACATTGAGCAAGAAAACACCAACAATAACAACATTTTTTCCCCACCGCAAGATTCACAAAAGGATAATCACTGAAGAAGGAACAAAGGGAAAAAAGGCAACAGAGAGACAACATGAACATCTTAGCCTAGCTGCTAGACACAGTTTCCACTTGGGTATGGCCAAGAAATTCCACGTCAACTCCCAAAACACCAGATTTGGAAAGGAACTTAGAAATCATCTAATCCGCTCCCCGCCCCCAATATTTTATAGGTTGAGAATTCGACACTCCAGGAGAATTAAATTGTCCAAGATTATCATCTTTGGACTGTTCTAGGTATTTACCAAGGAAGATCCCATTACACACTTGGCTCAACCCTAAAGCTATGGATGAAGTATATATAGTTCACAATCAAATGGTAGTACTTTTAACTAGAGAAAATGGATATTTTCTCTGCGATAGGATAGGAGTCAGAAAAATTACAGCCTACAAACCAAATCTGTCTGGGCCAAATCTGGTCCTTGTGCCAAATCCAGCCCAGGGTCTGTTTACATGTGTCTCCCTTCCAGCACACTCCACCTGAGAATGATTTCTAAAGGGATGATGAAGGAAGGAAGGAAGGAAGGAAGGAAGGAAGGAAGGAAGGAAGGAAGGAAGGAAGGGAGGGAGGGAGGGAGGAAGGAAGAAGGAAAGAGGAAACAACATGCAACAGAGACTCTATGTGGCCTGCAATGCCTAAAATATTTACTATCTGAGCCTCTACAGAAAGTTTGCCAATGCTTGCTACAGAACAATAAATATTTAGGTGAACAGATCATCAAGCAATAAAACACCAAAACTTTTCTATTTATGGATCTCTATCCTGACACAGCCAAAAGAAAATTTGAAGCAGCTATGTCTCATCCTATGAAATGTTTTGGTGTGATAAATATTACTAGTATTTAGTAATATCTGACCCTCTTTTACTTTGAGTATGCAGAGAAATTCACTTCTTTGCCCTTTTGAAGTTAAGCACAGCCATGTGACCAGCTCTCATAACGATAAAGTGAGAAGAGATGTTGCACCCAGGCTGAAGCACCTAATTACCAGTGTTGGATACTCCAGCCTTCTCTTTTCAGACTGAGACAAGTCTGGAGCCTCCTGGGGAGATGGTGGCTGCTGAGCAAAGACTACAGAGCCCCCTGCTGACCCACAGCGGAAATGCAGCACGAGCAGGACAGAAGCTCTTGTTAATAAGCTACTGAGATTTGAGGGTTGTTACCGCAGCGTGCCTTGTCTAACCTGACTGCTACAGTTAGTCAATCTTCTTCTGGGTGAAATGTAGAATTGACAATAGTGCAAGGAGAGAAAATAATCATCCAAAATCAGCCACACAGAGATTCCATTCTGGAGGAGATCTGGATGCTTATCACTCAATTCCATCACTGTTTTCCACAAAAAAATAACCTTAAAGAAACTATGTTGACTGTGTTAATACAAAATTTGTATTTTGTATTGTAAATTGTAAATAAAAATTTGTACTGATCATGTACGGTTAAAAAAACTACGTCGGGGTGCCTGGGTGGCTCAAACGACTGACTCCCAACCTCAGGATCATGAGATCAGGCCCCATCCGAGCACACTGGGCATAGAGCCTGCTTAAGATTCACTCTCCTCCCTCTCCCTCTGGCCCTCCTGCCCTGCTAGCGTGCTCTCTCTAAAAAAAAAAAAAAACTATGTCACAATCACTCAGTATTTCTAACCAGTTTTTCTTGTCAACTGCATCATCATCATATTCTTACTACTTTTCCCACAAAAAAAGGATTTATAGCTTATCTTTTCTAAATAAAAACATTTTACTTATTAGTGTTTTAAAACCATATTTAAAAAGGAAAATCTCCTTTAAAGCCCGGCTATAGGAAAAGCAACCTACAAGCCTACATACATAGGGACACATCTGTCAGTTTCATGGCCATTTTGACTGAGTAAGAGCCCATTCACGACAGATTTGTTCTGTTTGTAAAAACACTTGCCAAGAGGGAGCCCTTGGGTGGCATGGTCGGATAAACGTCTGACTCTTGGTTTCAGCTCAGGTAATGATCTCAGGGTCTTGAGATCAAGGCCTGAGTCAGGCTCCAAGCACAGGAGGAGGAGTCTGCTAAAGTTTCTCTGTCTTTCTCCCTCTGCCCTTCCCTGCACTCACTCACACTCTCAAATAAATAAATCTTAAAACAAAAACAAAAACAAAAACAAAAACACACTTACCAAGTACTCCCAGAAGGGTCATCATTCCCAAAAGCACTGAAAGAGCCATCTTCCCTCTGATAGAGAAGTTCTCTCTGATAACCTGAAGAACAAAAAAGTAGACAGATAATTACAACTTGAAATGAATTAAAGTTTCTAATCATGACTTCATATTAAGGAAATATGAACAAAGAATGGGAGAGAAGATACCAAATCAGCAACTAATACTGAATACTTTCTATATTAAATGCTGTGAGAGATTTAAAATATCAAGATTTTTCAAGCAGAACATGTAAAATAAGAACTGTGATAGCCCCAAATTAAATTCAGAAGACTATTATAACAGAGACAGCAATTCTAGCCAGTTAAAAGGAAGCAAACTAGTCTGACTCTTGATTTTGGCTCAGGTCATGATCTCAGGGTTGTGAGATCAAGTCCTGAGTGTGGCTCCATGCTCAGTGCAGAGTCTGCTTAAGATTCTCTTTCCCTCTGACCCTCTTCCCTCTCGTGCTCTCTATCTCTCATTCTCTCTCTCTCTCAAATAAATAAATAAAATCTTAAAAAAAAAAA